AAAAATGTAATTTTTTTATCGTGAATTAATCGTTCGTTTTTACTGTACTTACGAGGTTTTTCGTTTTTTCCCATTTATTAAAAAAAACTGTTTGACAAATTGAATAATTACCTTCTTAATGAACAAACTATATTCAAAATGCTACAAAAAAGCACTTTTTTTATTAAAACTAGATTTCCGAAAAAAAATTGGTAACTCACGCACACATAGTAAGATATTTCTCGCTCCACTCAGAATCTAAAAAATATTAAAATTTTTAAAAAACACATCATAATATAAAACTAATAAATTCTTCACTGTGTTCAGAATCTTGAAAATTGATCCTGGTTGTTAACACTGAAATTAAATTATAAAAAAAAAGTCTATTAGAAATTTTCCAATTTTAAAACTGACAGACAAGACGCAATAATTATTTATACTGCGTAACATTTACGAATACATTTTATTTTTTTTTGGTTTTTTTTATTTTTATTATTATTATTAGCCACGATTTTAAACGTTTAGGGTTTGAAATGATTTTTTTTTATTAAAAACTTCATTTGCTTGACTTGAAAAAAAGAAAAAAACTCAACGCTTCCCCGTTTTTGTTGAATTTTTTTTCCTTCCCAAAGAAACTCGTTTCCTTTTATGTTCTTTAAAATAATTGACGCGTTCATCTGCAGGGTGCAGTTCATTCTGATTATAGAAATGGGTTTTATGTACAGAATTTTCGTGTGAAATTTCACATAAAATCGAATGACGCCGTTTCCATTATCACGGTCCACCGATTTTATACTCTTTAAAATAACTTTAGTTCGGTACAATAGACTTATTCGACGTACCTAGATGAATAATTGGTCGGGCGTTTTTTCGTCTAACGTATACGTTATAGATACCTAAATAGGCATCGCAAATGCATTATATTATTATTTTTCTAAATTATCAATGAAAACGAACGAAACAATTTGTATTAATTCGTCTACAACAGAATACCGGAATGAACCACTAAATTATACTCGATATAATTCTCTAAAATGATATATTTATAAGGTATTATGGGTATTCAAATTTTTATGATTTATTTATTAGGTAGGTATACTGTTAAACGCATGAATATAATTATGGATTCAGACTGTGACGTATAGTCAGGATTTTGAATCAGGCGGAAGGGAGTTTAATGACAAAACAAATCAATCAGAATATGACAATAAATAATAGTAAATGATTTTATCGTCAACAATTGTTTAGAACTCATTATGCTAAACAATTTAAATTTCAAAAATATATTTTGACCAATCCAACAATATAAAACGTCCTAGACGTTTTTTTTTCTTGTAGAAAGTTGATTAACTTTCTTCAGTTACTTTATCAGATTTCATGTTTTTAATAATTGTAGCTAATACGTTAAGTCCGTGGTTAATCGTAAATAACTCGTGTTGAAAATGTACGTTCGGGTGTTGCTGATGTAAGTATGTAATCAATAAAGTTCTAAGTGATTGAAGTAAACATTTTACTTTTGGTAAAATACTTCTGTACAATAACTTAATGCATTGATAGCTAACTTAGGCTTTTTAAACTTATTGTCTTATCTCCCATTGGTTTCAGCACTTATTTAATTCACTTTTGAGACATATTCAGGAATATAATTCTCATAGAATTTTGGTGCACATAATGTCGACTCATTACTGTTGGTATCTAAATTAGCAAGCACTATAATTTTTTCTAACCGAAAGTTGAGTTATGTAATCAAGAAATGGTATACAAATTTAAAATTTTATATTCGATAGAAATCTTCCAGATTAATATTCTGAATGTTTACTCGATTAGTTTGCGATCTTTAGGCACGGGGAATTTATATTTCAATATTTACTTTTGAAGCAAGTAAATTAACTTTATTAATTATCTGTTTGAAATATGGAGAACCAATATGAATATTTTAAAATTTTAAAGTTTAAAATAACGATTACATAGATGATGGGGTCATGGCATATTCCCCACCATCACCACCCATGACTACGCTACTGTATTCAGATAATTACCTAAACAAATATCCTTTGCATTAAAGAATCGTGATAAAAATTATATAGTTTATCATACTCAAGTTAAGTAAAATTCAGTGTATTCCGATATCTTTTTATAGTACGTAAACAAATACTTTTTCATTTTTTTTTAATAATATATTGATATCATGGGTCGTGAAAAAAAAAAATTATAATCATGACATGGACCTGAATTATAGTATTAACGTTCTTAATATAAGATTAAAAAGAAAAATACACGTCCCGAGTAAATAATCAATAAACACAATATTATTAACTTTCATATTATCTCAAAGTACCGAATAGGCTTCATTGGCCACGGGTCGGACCACATCGGATAGTAAATCATCTAATTCTGATTATATACTCAATATGACTGCACGCGTGTGTTTATATCACTGTAATATCACTGTTTATATCACAATAATTGAATTGAACATGGATTTTAATGAGTCTCTATTTATAATATATATACATATTCTAGACCTTTGGTTAATTACGGAAATGTAGTTTGTATACGACCAAATAGACTTTACCGTCATTTCCATCGTATCTCCACTGCATAAATTCCTTTAATTATTGTACGCACAAACATAGTCGTTCGAATAGCAGCCCGTTGGTGAATAATGCGATTATCTGCAGAAATACGAGTCTGCAACACTATAGATTCACTGTTCGCCAACAATTAGTAACTTCTTACTATAAGGGTATTAACTTCACGACTAACTATATCAATACGTACTTTTTGATAACTTTGTGTATATATAAGTACTTAATAATATTTACTACACCCAATTATTTAACTACCTATATTGAACGAATTATTTCATTGGTTTTATTTGAAATAGTATAATCTCAATTTAAAAATATTTTCATATTCTCTACCTATGCATATGTGTCTAAACATATTGTATATGAGTCATTATCCGCATAAAACTTAATTATTTCTTTTAGACGAAATACATTTAAATTATATACTTATCCACCCCTGAATATCCATGTCCATTAACAGGTTAAAAAATTATATTGAGGTTTACTCTTACTGAGCTTTAAACATTTGATTTTTTTTATTAGTTAACTTATTTTTTTAACAATAATTTAATTAATATAATATTCAATTTATAATCTATATAGTATGTATTTAAATACATGTTTAGTCCTAATTTCTATTTGTTCTTTTTTTTTTTGTGTTCATCTTACATGTATGCAAAAGGACCTCTATCCCACCATCCTACATAAGTAAATGACCCCTATTGCCATTTACACAGATTAAATTTATTTCCAAAAAATCAGAAATTGTATATGTATTTTCATTTTCACTATGGCACACAAAAAATAAATATAAACTCCAGTTAATAAGTCAGTTAAATTGTCAATAAATTATTAAATTTAACTTTTAGTTAATTAATAAAACAATCAATTTTTTACTTTTTAAATTACATAACTTAACTGAGCTATTGTTACTATAGCATACACTTGATAATATCTCCGAGACCATAACGCAAAATTATATTATTAATTATTGATTATTATTACTAACCAAATATGTATGTAGGAAAATAATTATACATACTTGTTTTTCCTATTTTATAATTATTTATTGTTTAATGTTGTACTGGTAATCGATTTGAATAGACTTGAATTTTATCATTATTTAAGAAGAACTTCAACAGTCATTTGTTGGTATAAGCTAATATTTTTATGTTTGTTGTTTTCTTCTTATATTTCCCATTAGGTTTTATTATTCGAAAAGTTTGGAACCTTCTGTCTGAGTGATCGATTGTAGATGTAAGGTAGTCGCAATGTTTTTCTCCTTTTTTTTTTTTTTTTATTTATATCCTGTTGTTTTTCAGCCATTCGCCGGGAGATTAATGTAATGGGAAAAACCGAGTGTAAAGTTTTTGTTGTATTTGGTTGTAATGAAAATTCAAGTGCGCGTGTGTGTGCTGTTCTGCTCTTCTAAAATATATTTCGTTCCGTCGTGCTCTCGTGGAAATAAAAATAAAACCTAATTATAATAAACTGACTTTTTGCAAGTCACTTTTTTGTTCTGTCTGCGTAGTTTAATATTATAATATTGCACAATTAATCTGTTCTTAAAATATAACCTCGATGCAACCACGAATATTATAATTTTTTTTACACACCAGTGAAAAAAATGTACATTGTCGGTAAGCATACAATTTACTGTAAGTTATACATAAACTTCGCGGCCCTTCAAATCGGGTCTTAATCTAAGTAAATACTAGAAGTTTATAGAATCAATGGTAATCATTTTTATAAAGGCTTAAGTTTCCCATCCCTCCCGCCGATCCATTGAAAAAAAATATTTGGGTTATATTCGCCTATGCGGAAATGACTATCGAAATTCGATAAACAAAACCATTTTAGTCTTTAGTGTATTATTGTGTATAGTGTGCAATTCGTATTTCATTTTAGGTATTGATTTTTGGATATCGACGATCGGCCGTTGGATACGAAAACCGTCTTCTAAAACATCTGATTTTTTTTTTAATGGGACGTATCTAAAACTTTCGGATAGATTTTCTCGTATAAGTTTATACCGGAGCTCCGTTGATTCCGTCCCATGGGGTGTATTACTCGGGTCACTTTTCGATACGACTCCAATTACATTCTTACGATACGTAATACATATATATATATATATAATGGATATTTGAAATCGGATGGCTTAGCCGATTTCGTTCATTCGAATTGTAGCTGCGGCGATGTGAAAGGAAATTATATATACTCTACAAACGAATTATTAAAATTGAAATTTCCGTACATATTATTATATTATTCATTATTATAGTGAAACTTCCATGTAACGAACTTTCATTTAACAAAATTTTCTGTTCAACGAATTTTTTCGAGATCAATGACCTTCCTTAATCATGCGTAAATTTATCTCTGTATAACGAATTTGATGTTTCTATAATAAAACGAATAAACTATTCGATAACAATCCAGATTTTTTAAACGTTGTCACTATTGAATGTTAAATATTGTTTTAAAAGGGTGAGGGTTTGTTCTTCGACAAGTGATAAGAAAAAAAAATAAATTGAAATTATCAGATTTATCAAACCTTAAAATCACACCAACCAATCCAATAGTTTATTTATTCATCAAATATATTCATATCATAGACTTAATGAGAATAAAATATTATCCAACGTGTGTTACCATCATTTTATTAATTGAAAATACATCTGTTGACCTTTTAGATCAGTTCAAGATTTTAAATATTTATAATTTATACTATATTATTGTACTAAACTGTACTATTATAACTTATAAGTTATAACGGTTAGCTATTTTACATCACGCTAGAACATAATTGTGGTTCATGGACTACTTTTAGTTTAATTTTAGTAATTTAAAATTAACGAACTAGTTATAGACATTATACAGTATACATATATATAGTATTCAGTACTATTTTAGATAGTAGTGGGTTGAAGAGAGAAATATTTACCTATCGCAATAATGATACGAATGTAATATACACAAAATACATAATGTATTACAGGGTAGAATATTTACTGATACAAAAATATTAGGAAGACATTTTTTAAATTTATTTTTCTGGTGTTTTTGCATAAATTTTTTTTTTCCTTATCATTATTGTCGGAGAACGCTCCGGACCCCGTTCTAAAATATCTTTGGTTTTATTGTTTCCGATAAAGATAAGACATTGCAGGTAGGCAAGCCGGTTAATTTGTGCGTGCTGCAGTTCCAATACTGATGTAAACGTAATCGTTTTTCTATACGTACAAAATGTCGAAACATAAATGTTTTGTCGATTGTAGATAAATTTTAAATTATAAATGAGGTCGATAAAAGATCAGTTACTATCATCTACCGATGATACTATTGTGGAGGAGGTTAGAAAAAAAGAAAATTCTGGTGAAAATAAAGAAGAAAAAGAAGATAATGATGATAAAAATTAAGAAGAACATGCAAAAGAATTACCTAAACTCACAGAAAAAGAGATTCTAGACGCTTTTCAGTTGTGAGAAATACTTTCAGAAAACAAGCAAATGTCTCTGATGAAATTTTTTTTAAATTTAATGAAATTGAAACATTTTACGAAAAAAAAAAAATTTATAAAAATAATAAACAAACAAAACTCACTGATTATTTCTCTTAAATTAAGATTAACAAATAATATTTTGTAGACATAATATGATATTTTATGTTTATTTTTTAATACCTACAATATATATATATATATATAAAAAAAACATAATGTCATTCACGAATTTTTTTTGTTTTATTATGAAGTTACTGTATTATTTTTTTTCAATATTACAAAATATTCGAACAATGTTAAAAATAATTGATATCTCACAGTAGACGCATTCTCAACAGTTATTTTAACTATTACGTTATGTGAAAAAAAAAAAAAATGATTTTTTAACTAAATCTGAATTATTCCGAAGAAATTGAACGGACGGTAGTGTAATAATACGTATTTCTAGTGAAAAACCCTCTTTGTCATAATATTATATATTTCTGACTAGCTGTGCCCATGCACCCACGTCTTGTTACGATATTATGAGATTATTATAATGACGTGTCTGATAGCCAGAAATGTTAACGAAGTGGAAATTTCAATAATTATATACAATAGCTACGCATTCTATCTAACTCGATTTATGCAATATAATTTTAAAAATAAAATATTTACGTTTGTATGTATTTCCTATAGTTCAGTTGAATTAAACGCCAAATAAATCCTTAAGCTCTGTGGTTTTTTTTTTCTTTGTTGATACAGTAATTTCTGTAATATTGTATGGATCCATACGCGGAATGAATGAAAGTTGATTTATTCGACGGTTTAATAGCGGCGATAAATCGTCGTATATTCGAAAATCGTGATTACCAGCTGGTAAGTGCAGGACCTTATCAGAATGTTAATTCCAACAACAATATTTATAGTGTACAGGAACCGCGGCGTTGTTCTCTTCGACTTCTAAACCCGTTATAATTATTATATTAATATATAATATTTAATAATATCTATAATATATATAATATATATAATATCTAATATCTAATATAATATCTAAACATAATTGTTTAGTTTCTTAATGATCGACCACAAACAATAATAATCATACTGTATACGGATACACAGAAACCGTACGTGGTACACGAAACTTTTCGAGCATTTTCACTGTTTGATCATTTTCGCTGTCTCGAAAAAAAGTATGTTTTATACGAGACGAACAAAAAAAAAAAAAAAAAAAAAAAAAAAATACACGCGACGTTGTAAAACAAATAGCTCCCTCAGCTCTGCCGCGCAGAGTCTAAAAACAAAAAAACATTATTATAAATGAAATATAACCTCGCATCGTTTTTGTCACATAAACGAGGATCTTTTACTTCGTATTTTACGAGGCGATGGCGGCGGCGCCGCGAGAATTTTAAAACATATAATATTTTATTATCAGTCACAAAATATCACCGATAATTGAAGTCTATATATCGTTCGTTATAATAGTATTGCTTCATCCGCAATAGCCCGCGGAATAAACGTCTACGCGCGTCAGTGATAATTTCTCGTTTCGACGAACACAATATTTTGTCTACCCTATAGCGTGTTATTATTATTATGCACTCGTATCGTCAATTTGGAATAATGAGTACGCCCGGAGACGCCGTACGCGATATTATTGTATACTGGTATATCCGTAGTGTTTCCAAGAACAAACGATTATCACTGGCTTCTTTTTTTTTATCCCTTCGCGTATAGTGTCTTGGAAATTCTTCATATCCAAAAATTAGCATTTAATCGCATCACAAATATCCCATTCCAAATCATTAGAAAATTGTATATTATTCAACAGATAAGTCAGACAAGGGATTTAGCGCGGTCAGGGTTTGTCGGTTTCGTTTGGTCGCGTTAAAAATGTTAAAACTAGGTGCATTTATATTCGTCCATATCGACGACGGTTTGCCATCATACAGATATATGTCGTGTCACTAATGTTTTTACTGATAAATAATTGTTTTAGATTACGAGTGGAGCGAAGAAACCAACGATTTTACATAGATGTTTATTCATTTTTTTTATATTTCTGCGGACAACTTTTCTACCAGAGGACTCACTTCGATTTTTCCGTGTAGGAACTTTTCTGAATGAAAATCGGTGTGGAGAGATACCTCAGAGAGGTCTTTTTTCGATTTTCTCAAGTGTTTTTGTTTTTAAATACATTATTTTTCCGTATTTAAGCCGAGTATAATAATACGACCGATCCTTTAAATCTATAAGTACTAAAATAAACGTTCGATCACCTACGATTTTCTTTGGTTATGTAGTAACACCCAACTGGAAACAGCTGAGTGTTCATCTTGAGAGGGACATAATAATTGACACGCATAATACATATATTTTATTCTGTACCTAGGTCGTAAAACAATTTTAATGAGAGACATATTATTATCAGAAATATGATAAGATAGATATGGGATTCATCTGATATTTAATTATTTTGATAGAAATACGTGTACAAATTTTGAATGTTAGGAGCATACAATACTTAAACCTGTAAAATATCAATGCGCTAAAATCCTAAAAAAGACGAATTTATTTCAAATTCAAAAAAACATTGTACACGCACCAACAACTTGTCTGACTGGCGACGAAATATTCGTTAATTTACCATAATATTGTATTTTGGTATCGGAAAAAATATTCCATTAACCGATTCCGTAATGATTGCGTTATAAATAATATATAACCGTTTATAAAAGTGGTATATTTTTCCACAATATCCAACGACAGTGGTACATTATTATTATTATTACGACGAAGACGTCACACATCTGTTGCCTCGTATTCACCGCCGTCGTCCCCCTCAAAAGTTCCACAACTGCGTCGCACGCACCGTCAAACTGTTATACAATACGAAACTTATTGGTTTTCGTCGATTTATATATATATATATAATATAACATTTGAAACTTGTTTAGAGGACGACGAAAACCCTCCGGCGGGAAAGGATATAAGAACACTGCAGCTAAATATTATAATATGTGTTTTGGGCCAGAAACGTTTTGGAGACGTAGGGGATATACGTGGGGTATACAGCTGAGCCGGCTTCTTAAATGTCGTCAATCTGTGTGCGTGAATCTAAAACATCTGCAGGGCTCGTTTTGGAAACAATAAAACGGAGGAGTGTATTTTTTGTATTTTTCTCCCGCGTGCAAATGTGTGTAAGCAATAAAATAATATTTTTTACCGAACCTACAGGTATTTTGTTTTTTCGATAAAGAATAGTTTTAGCACTAGTAAAACTATTTAAATATTCTATCTCTTATCTTTAGTAAGTTAAAAGCTATAATTTATGTCATGAGTTATCAACGTTTTACTCTACCCTATAGAAGTGAAATATGATTAGCAAAAAAAGGCGACGAAGAGAAATATAAAATATAGAAAAGCACTCCATCACATTTACGGTCGAATAGTTTAAAATATTCTGAACAAGAATATAAACGAGAAAATCTGTCAACTATTTCGAAAATTCAACGTTAAAACACTTCGGAAGCAAACACGAATATAATGGGCTGTGGCGTATAGCGAAACTAATTATTTCATTAAATGATGATATTGCTAAACAAGTAATAATATAAGAAAACTAAACAAGAGAAAACCCAGAGGACGCTCCTGGAAAATATCGATAGATGGAACAACCGAGATCCGAAATTTATGTATAATTTGTATTGAAATTACAGACATTTATCTGTGACTTAAAATCTGTGCACGTCACGCACGTCACACATTTATTAAATTTGCATACCGAAAACCTGTCTTGAAATTTGTTCGAAAATTATAGACCCCACCAAAAATAACTCATCCTGGTTGCGCCACTGGAAATATTAAAAGCGAACCTTGACAAATATACGCGAAGAACGGAAATGGAAGAAAAAAGAAAGAAGTATTATTCGTTGTATAAATAATAAAATTTAATATTACATCAGTTGAGTTGATGATGTAGTGGCTTTCCAAAATAATATTGTCGAGCGGGCAGGTTACATTTTATATTCTAGACCTTTTGAATAATATTATTGTTGCATCGTATTCAATATTTAAAAATTCAGTACGGGATAAAATACGGGGAGATGGGAGACGATTATTGTTTTGCAACGTTTGACATTCATAAAAAAACAAACCGTGTTCTGAATAGAACTCAGATTTTTTACATCAACTTGCAGTTCTTCCGGCTAAATTTTCGACAAATAATTTAATAATCTCTTACGAATATCTTTCGTATTCAGATATGCCGCGGGGTGAAAATAATTGCCGTACCGAATAATATATTTAAAGAAAATTGCCTGCAAAACTGATGAAATGTTCACTCTCTGCAGTACAAACTCGGAACTGAAAAGTAATATGAGAGTTTTACTTTATAGTGAATTATAGCCCTCTATATTTTGTCACAGCATTAGTTTTTCCAGTCTATATAATCTCTGTAAGTGATATTTGATCGAGTGTAAGAAAGTCCAGTGTCATAAAATATGACGTAGAATTTGATAGAATGTTGTGTTTCCGAAAAGCCAATTGTTATTATATCGTATTGTGTTGTTCGAAAAACCCGCGAGTTAAGCTATTAGCCGTTTGTAAATCCGTGAAAAGTCATGTGTGACACTTAACGTCGTCGTTTATCGACGGTATTTTTGTCAATGACTGGAAAACGATTCCAAGAATTGAAGAATTTTCGAAAGTATTTGCTTATACCGCAGTAAGTTTTTTTTTTTATCTCGTTCAAGTTGTTCGATCAAAATACAAATAGGTATATAAGTTGGGACTGTTATTATTATAATCGTATAGGTATACATTTTTTACGTTCATTTCGTAAAAACCGACGTCATTATTTTAGTATTTAATATGGATTTATAATACGATTGAGTTTTTTTATTTTGACGAAATGACCGTACATCAATAGACACCTAAAACACAACAGAAAATACAAATCTCGAGATTGATTGGACCATTGCAGTTTTAGCCTATTGGGAGAAAGTTTGAAATGTATAAGATTATTTAGCCTATAATATAATATACAATAAAAAAATAAAAACAAAAAAGAGGTTAAAAAATTACAATTCAATAATTATTTTGAGCGGACCTCCGTATACCGGGAAGATTATATTGTATTTATGTCTTGATTTTTCCTTTTGCAGCCGATTTGACTGGGAAATTCACAAAAGTAAAACCGCCGTATATCGACATTTTTTTTTATAAAAACAACTATGCATTTGTTGCAAATAAAGTATCACCGATCCAAAAACTTCCAGAATGTCATATCTTGCGATTCGGAGCGTTTTTACCAATCGAACACGAGTTCGCCGAGAAAACACAATCTTACAATATAACTATAATATAATAGCTGCTTCGCTGCACTCGGGGCCTAAAAAAAAAATGGAAAAAAAAAGAAATGTATTTACGCGATGAAATATTATGAGTATCTATATATGCAATATAAAAAAATAATCTTCGTCCCGAATCGATATTTTATTCCGGTATAGTATATTATTTTCTCGATGCGTTTTATGCGTATTCGAAACAAAAATAAATCTGGTATTGTCTCTCCGAACCCGTGCAGGGATATAGGGGCGTACGCGTATAATAATGTCAAAGGGTATATATAGGTAGGCACTCCATCAGATGGCATTTACTGCCCCGGTCAGCCCTCATACCGGCCTGGGTATAAGTTATTATAATATTATATGCTCTTCTCTCGATGCGCTTTTACTACCTATACAATAATAATACGCCATGTGGGTAATAGGGGTCTGAATGCGGTGTCTACGTTTGTGTTGTCTTTTGCAGCGGGCGCGTCGTTCCTTTTATACGTATACCTGTAGTACGCGGGCATTAACTCGTCGTTTTTGTGAAAAAAAAAAAAAAAAAATTAAATAAATATGAACATAACAACGGGTTTTTTTTTTAATTTTTTTTATTGGCATTCGTTTTACTGTCTCGCGCATATTTTACACACACACACACACACACACAGTTAATATTTATACGCTGCAATTGCACCGTATAGGTATTCGATATTATTTACTTACATCTATATCATTACTTTATAGTGTTGTAACGCCGTTAGCGTGTATATGTGTGGGAGCTTAACGACGAGCAAACGATTGTCGACCTCGTAAGTTTCCTGTTCCTTTTAAACCGAATGTTTCGAGTAGGTACCTGCAGCCTACGTCCTACACACGGTTTCGGATGTTGCTGAGTGTGTCTCCATGAATTTCTCATCGGTTTCAAATTTGTCGAGATGACACACGAATACGTATGACGTAATATTATTCGGGTTTTCGGTTCTATCCCGCTCGTTATTCGTGTGACGGGCGATGTGGATCGTCAACAATTGTAGTAAGACGGGGACGTGGCGGGGCGTATAATGTGTACAGTTGAACAAGTTTTTTTTTTTTTTGAAAACTAAAACTTTTTACATAAATTATCCCAATTAAATCAGCTATTTTAGTTTTTATCGTGTATACAAACTCCATTTTGTACCGTTAATCTCTATGCACAATACATTCTGTACACTCCGCGAGTTTAATTTGCGCCGGGTTCAAGACGAATAATTATTACATAATCTGTTGTTTTTCATTCGAAATCGGAATTTTCGCCAAAATATTTAGAGCGTTTTTAACGCTAGTTCTTTTGAAATTTCAATTTTTAACTATAGCATAGTGGTTCGGATTTATTTGTTTACTATAACCCGTAACCGAATGCGTTTTTGTTTATTCAACTCGTCCTAATCAAGTCAAATTGATTTTCATCACATTTGGTATATTATTTCTATCAAACGCGTTCTGTTACTTTTATTTTTGCTGTGACAACCATCCCCACCGTCACACCGGCTTCTATTGAAACTCTAATAAAACGCCGCGTGCCGTGCCATTATACACAAATGATACTACACTATTCATTTCCCTACCATAACTTAAAAGTGGAATATCTCGTTAACGGGCTGACGGAAATGAAAAAAAAAAAATTGGGAAATTAAGAAGATTATTATATTTATATCTGTACACAATGATAAACCATTGCTAACGAAACACGATTACGAGAGAAGTTCGGTAAGACATATTTTGAAATGCTATAATTTTTACAATTTTCGTCAAAACTTGATTTTGAAAAAAAAAAAAATGATGCATTAAATTCAAATTTTTTTTTATACCACTAAGTATAACGTATAATGTGTAAATTTCTTAGCATTCCTCTTAAATCATATTATTTTAAGAACAGATAGGCATCTGCGAAATAAAAATACACGTAAAAGCAAGAAAATATCAAACATCTTTAAATAGCCTACAAATAACTATAATGGTTTAAAAATTCATCACATCTACAAAAGGCCTATATAAATAATTTTTAAAACTAATAACAAATAACAACAAAAAAATCTAATTGCCGTACTCTTTGCCGTATATTTTTCGTTTTTTCTGGTTTTTCGTAATTATTATTAAAACTATAAAAGTGTGTGGGCCACTGTTGTAGGTGAAAAGTTTAAAAGGTAGGATATAGAAAAGCATTTTATGTACGATTAAAAAGGATTCTGTAAAATAGATTCGGTTATAGATGCTTAAAAGACCGTAATATTTACGATTTTCGTCAAAAAATGGTATTAAAATTCTTATAAAAAAAAAAAATATATATATTACATTAAACTCAATACTCTTTACATCGGAACAAGATCTCTTGTCGAAAAGACAAAATAACAATAATAATAATAATAATAATAATAATAATAATAAAAAAAAAAAAAAAAAAAAAAAAAAAAAAAGCACACGTAGTAAAATCAACCCTCACCACCCACTGAGTCTAGTTATATATTTGTTCATAAAATCATAAAACTGAATTTTAGAGCTTTTTAATAAACGTTATTACTTTTATAACTATAATTAATAATTTAAAATCGAATATCGTACAGCGATATATTAAAAAAACAGTGAAATAAAAAAAAAAATTACAGTAAAAAAAAAAAAAGTTTTACATTAGGTAAAAGTAAATAATTATCATGTTTTTATTCGTAATGGAAAATTAATATGTGATTGAAATAATAATGTTCAGTTTAATATGAAAATTAAAACAGTATAAATAAAACATTTTTATACATTTTTTATTAAAAACATTGCATTGACCGTGTACATTTATTTAAAAAAATACCGTTGAACTTTTTATAATTAAAACTGTAACAAAACATATCAGGTAAACACATTTTTCGTTTATTTTAATAATTGTTCTATACAATTTGTTTTTAGATATAAAAGTTGAACACTAAACATTGTATTTAAAGCATACTGAAACATAAATCACAATAGTTTTTAACTATACTGACCCAAAGCATGGAATGTTAATTTTACTATGCGAGTTTTCGTTTGTTGTTGTCGTTTCTATTGGTAACATTTCTATCAGAAATCTTGCTCTGATCATCAACATTAAGGCGGCATTCATAATGCTTCTGATTCGTCTCTCCTTATGGTACACATACTACTATTATGTATACTTTTCCTATCTCATATATTAAAATAAGGTACCTATCACAAGATGTTTTTCAGTATTATGTGGAAATGTACATTTTGTGGATTATGTTTCACATAACTACTATATTCGTCTCTTCGACCAAACTATAACATGTTTTAGGTACATTTTATATTATAATAATGATATCACGTATATCTTATATACACGTATAATAGTTCCTTTACACACGGGCGAATATCAAAGACGAAATTATCGGGTATTAATATTAATACCGTAACGTCTTTGGAATGTGGTCATTTGTATTATATAAGATCAAAAGACAAACCTAACACCAACACTGTGTCATCCGATACAAATTAAGTTCTATAAAACAGCTGCGCATAGGTGAATAGGAGAATTTATGAATGAATTATATAATGACATCAAAGATCCTTAAATTCATAGATCCTATTTTAATCTAATCATTGTGTTGTTCATATGAACCAAAGTCAAAGAATATAATTATTACACGTGTTTCGAACTATAATTATCAACATTCAAGGTTTTCCGTATTTAACGCATTTCCGTTATAACGATCGGTTATAACCTCGTGCGATAATCAACGAACACGATTGATTCGAATAGTATTGTTAAAATATGAATGTTCTGATTGTCTATTAGCAATGTTCGTATGTGCATCTGATTTAAGCTCAACAACTCTCCGACCTATTTATGTGTGGTTCTTTGTAAAATGGCCCGCGTTGTTCGTATTTGGTTTGGAGCTAGTGACAATTTTTAATCTGGCTAGTATAAAGAGAATAAGGCGTCTATAAATATATAAAAGGCAATGTTTGTATGTATAATGCCCTGTTATGGAGTAATTTGAATTAAAACCAATAGTGTTATCATACATTTTGACTTGTGTAAGTTAAATTTTGAAAAGATCCGTAATTTTTAGGTTTTTAATGTGTTGTAAGTTTCATGTTTAATATTAATTGTGATGATTTTAATACATAATGAAGTAAAGTTTTATAAGTATATTTAGAAATGTTAAATCGTAAATGTGATGATTTTACATTTTGTTTGTTTGATCCTGCTGTTGTATTTTATTGCTGTTAAAAATGCTGCCGAAACGACAACATTTAGAGAGAACTTTATCGTATTGTTTTTTAGTATAATTTGGAAAGTTGATGTATTCAGTTGCAGTTGTTGAAAGTGTGAATAAAGTAGAGGGCATACTTGTATCACAATAACCCGTAATTCTATCAAACACATGATATTCCAATATTCAAACGATTGCAATTTGTAATCAAATTGTTTATTGCAATAATGATAAAAAAAAAAATCACAAGATCAATCATTACGGATATGGATACGGATTGAACTTGAAGTCCATGGTATCCTCGCGGACAATTATACCGATGCTTGATCATGCATAGGGAAACGAAGGGATTTGTGTGTATACATATGCACACATATGCATAAAACATTACATATCCAAGAGTATAGCAACTCTAAGTTTAATATAACAGTAATTTTAATTTATATAATCCAATACACACAAATAACAATGTACCTATACCTAAATGTATATAATTTTAACCCGATAGATTAATTATATTGATATGAGAATTTCAGTTGTGCGTTCATTTAATATTTAAACACATAAATCTATAGCTATCGTAACATTGCCGTGTCAGGTGGTATCTTAAACAATTTAATTTTTGATATAGTTTAAAATATAAGAGTTTTTTTTTTTTTTTGTTTAACGTTTACAATTAATGATCGCCGTCAGACAGGCGAGTAATGCAATAATTCAAACGCTCGTCCGATTTCGACCTCTGCAGTTTCACGCACGCATAACTTTAAATTTAATGCAGTTTTTTTTTCCGGATTAATTCGTTTTATACTTGTTAAATTCAATTTAAATCGTAAAACACGACGGCGCGGTACAGCACGGTGGAGAGAACGTTAAACAAATATATTCTGCTGTTAAAAATAAAACAAATTTTTTATTTTTTTTGATGTGTGTGTTTTCTTCTAAATGAAAATTGTATAACAAAGAAGCGTCGATTCTCGAGTGTATTTCACTTACCTATGTATATATATGTGTACAATAAGTTATACCTTTTATTTCATGTAAACATATTATTATTCCGGTACAATCCTCGGCTGTATACTCGCTTGAATATAAATAAAAAAAAAAGCCCCATTTTATTCGGAAATATGCGATGGGACGATTTTTACCATTTCCTGACCCTATCTAGAGACACCTTAATCGGTCCCGAAGTACAAATATCATAGAAAATTAAATGTAATGTGTGTAAGAATAGGTAATTCAACTGAAGTTGCGACATTTTTACTTACAAAGTACTAATTTTTTTTAACAAGTTTTACAAATAAACTTCATTAATATTTATCAGATTCATATTGCAGCAAGTTGGTTGTACTATTGGTTTAACCATACGCATTTATTATTTTTTATCTGTAAACTACATTTCTCATAGAAAACTTGCTCCGGCCACCATGCGTAGAAAAATGTGTGTCTTTATTATGTAGTGTATGGAAAAGATTATTATTTTTATTGTATTTTTTTTTAATAGTTGAAAAAATTACATACAAAAAAAAAAAAACAAAAAAAGAGAAACGAAGTTTAATTAATAGTGATGTTTTGTAAACAATATATGTGACATATAAATGGTAAGATAATTGAATTGGCTTTATATTAAAGTTGTTATATTTAAGAAAACTCTTGGAGAATCGAAAAATGACCTCTTTAAAGTACCTCTTCTTCAGATTTCATTTTAGAAAAAGTGCTTTTATTATAAATTAGTAAAAAAGTTGTCTACAAAAAAAAAAAAAAAAAATTATAATATTTTACTAATATGTTTCGTACATATTCCTGTTTTCTCACTTTTTCCTTTTTATAGGGAAAACTTTCAGGAAAATTAAAAATGGCCTGACTTATGTACCACCTCAAGAAAATTTCCTTTCAGAAAAGTGTCAACATTTTATGCATCCGAATAAGTTTTCTGCTAGAAAAAATGTTCATATAAAAAATAAATACATATATTTGTAAAAACTAAACATTCCTCGCCATACTCAGAATCTAAAACTAGTAAAATGTATACGCAATTACGATTTATGTTATTTTCGATTTTATTTTTTTTTAATGTAATTCAGCTATTTTCAAATATTATTATTATTTGTATATTTATCTATTAATTTTTTTGTCAGTAAATTAATTGCCATAATATATCTGGCATATGGGATTATTTAATTATTAATTTGTCGATTTGTTGCTATTAGGTACGAATATTGCATTTTATGTAAAATCAGGCAAGCCCTATACATATTCGCATCTATAATGACCCGGTTAATTAATTTAGGCACAATCCATTAAAATTTTTTGTATTTGTTCAGATTTCACATATTAAAGTAAAACCCTGGGAATAAACGTCTGCAAACCGGGGAATTGTATGTTATATATTTTCGATTTAAATATTTTATCGTAAGTTAGTAAAAAAGAAAAAAAAATCGTAGATATCTGCATTTTTTATTGAACACTCATATTAGCCTTTTCTATACTTGGTATTTTTTTAAAAATATTCTGGCGAATATTATATGTATAAAAAAAAAATTGAGCTTAATGCAAGATTTATAAAAACGTTTTAAATTCAAAACACGATTTAGTGAACTTTGTTCAGAATCGTTTTCCGTGAGTGATAATTTATCCTCGAGTAAAAATTGAATACAACTATAATATATATCTTAACTTTTTTACTTCACACCTACGGCAGTGGCACACTAATCAGTATCAGTAACAGCATTTTTTTACGACAATTATATTATGCTTCATTTATGGTAAAACGCGAACAACATAGGTTTTTTCAATCGTTGACGAAAAATGATTCCGAACCTAAATAGTATCTTTGGATATTATCCATTTAATTTATAGTTTGCATATTATACATAATATAAAGACGACCTTAGCGAACGGACTAACCTAAATACATATCATTATATTATTATTTCTCTTATGTTTTATTTAGGTGCTTTGCATATTGAGTGCACAATCCGACAGTGATAACAGTTTGTGGTAGGTATCTATCTATTCAAAAAGTATGTAAACCAAACAATCGAAAATAAAAAAAAAAATTTAAAATAGAACTTCTAATGTTTATGTGCCGTCCATCAATTTTATTATTAATTATTACCTATCAACTAAATTGCCTGGTATTGAAAATTATGTCTTCGAAAATTACCACTTACACAACTGCAGTGTCGTGTCCACCGACGATTACCGGTATTACGAAAAGCACGTCCGAATTTTTGTTAATTGTTGTTTTTAAGATCATGTTATTAAAATAGAAAATTAATGGTACGAGAAAAAAAAATCTGTTAAAAATTTACTTATGTATTATACATTATTATTTTTTTTTTTTATAGAATATTAATCCGTGACGTTATCCGTAATATCTCTCGGGAACGAAGGAACGAATCTCTCGCCAAAAGGAGAATCGAAATAATTAAAATGTTTATTTAATTGTAAACGGTCGTTAATTATAGTGTCAGTGTCTCGTGCCGTAGATTTACGCGGGGAAAAAATCCGTTTAAACACCACGAAATACTGCAGGTTTTATAATTTAATTTAAATGCCCCTACACTCTGCCGGGGGATAGTGTACGTTAGATTTCAAATTCAATTTTATATTTTTAAACAGTTTATTGTTCTTAACAATTCCGTTATCGTATTATAGTATAATAATAATTTATCAAACGGTTTTTAAAGCGATATTTTTCAGTCGTTTTACATAAAATTGTTTTTTTTTCCGCATCAAGGTATATTATACTCTTATAATATAAGGGTAATTTAATAATCTCTAGATACCCGATTCTTTTACATTGTTATCATACCGAATTTCGTAATAATAATTATTTTGCTTCCTTTATACAAAAATAATAATAGTTGTCACTGCAGCATTAAAATTATTATTATTTGCTCGATGGAAACCTCGCGCATTTTTCCGACCTACACTTCAAACGATTATTTTCACCGTACCTAACGGACTGTATTATTATACTAAATAAACATAATTCTAAAATAAACGTAGTATATAATATCTTATTTTGTTCGTAGCCAAAATACATTTTTCGTGTTACGGTCAAATTGCTTATGAAATACTTATTTTTTTCAATCAAAAAATACTGAGGTACATAGGTACAATATTTCGTAATATCTAAAATGTTATTCTGTCGTTATTTTATTTGATCTATTTTTGGATGGTAAAACCTAACGTGACCTACACAAAAAGTAAGGCACTCGAATAGTGCTCCATTATAATAATCTACCTAATCATGAAAGTGAAATATTTCGTAAAATTTAAAATTTCAACACCAAAATGTATTTAAATTAATATTTCTTCTATTTATAAAGTTTCTATTTGAAAACCAAAAGTTCATAGTGGTTTCATCTCCCTCCCTCCTAAACAATATACGTTTCCAAAAAGTTTTTAAAATTAGTATTTTATGGGAAATTTTTTCCGTGGCATGAAATTTGGAAGATAACATATTATTTTCTAACTAAATTTTCTATATTCAACTACATATTTTAATGTGTACTTATCCAAGTATTTTTCATTGGACATTTCCTTATATTGAAAGCCAAATAACTTTTACAATTTATTATTTTTTACAAATTTATACAATATTTTTGAACTTTTGACTGGAATTTTCAAACGATTTTATTTTTAAACATTTGTATAGACACGCATCAACATTTTATTATAAGTAACATTTTAATATTATATATAATATTTTTGTCGAAATGCGTAGTATAATAATACAGGAAAAGTTTAAATTGTTTTATGCGTTCGAAGAATTGAAAATATGCAAGTACAAAAGTTAGCCATGAATTTTATTATTATAATTTTTTTTTACGTAAGGATGTATAAAACACCAAAATGTTCTACCGCAATTGACTATGCAATTTAATTACTAAAAGTTTCTGGACGATATTTTTCATAGCGTCTTTACTGATCAAAATATGTTCACTGCACTTTATTATTGTTATACAAACATTATTATTATTATAACTTCTTTGCTTTGCTAATAATCTAAAGTAAAAATGTATTTATGCGAGTTGTTGTTCAGTATTATTATAATTAACTGTACAAAAAAAAGGAGAAAAAACAGATTCTAAGGTCAACAGAGCAAAAATATCTCAGTCCTCCATAAAAATCATTAAAATCATAACATCTAAAGCAATTAACAACATTAAAAATAAAACAATGGACAGTTGGCAGAACAATTGGATTAATGTATCTCTATCAAATAAACTCAGAAATATAGAACCACATGTCCAGAAATGGAAAATCTCCTCAGACATTTCAGGAAGAGAAGAAGTAGTTATTACTCGAGTGAAAATAGGACATGCTCATTTAACTCACTCCTACTTAATCAACAAAGAACCTAAACCTACACAGTTAGATATCTGTAGTTAATTTTACTGAGTTTGTTAAACAGCTAAATGGTAAATTATGTGCTTTGGTGCGTCAAAATAACAACAGCGTGTGTAGAATGAAATACACATGGTTTAATTAAAACCTTTACTTAAAATAGCATTAATAAGCATTGGTGTTATTTGAATTTTAAATAGATATTGAGCTGTTGAATACTACATTATCCACTAGTTTATAGTTAAAATTAACAGTGGTATATTGTTTAATTAAATACATGAACTATTAACATTATTTATATGCGTAAAAATGCATCGTGAAATCCCTTGACCGAACACCGCCGTGTTTCGCGCATGGGTTGCCACGAGTTCTCTCGCTGGACAAAATATATAAGTAAAAATGTATAAAAACGACATTTTCCCTGAATTGATCAGATTACTGATTAGTAATCTAATCGATTTTATTGGCCAATAACTTAAACAGTTGAAGCCTGTAAATGCCTAATAAAAAAAATTTAGGATAATATTATTTTTGTGTTGCACTATCGTGTGTCTACAATGCGTGTTCAATACATGTGTTTTTGCTATGCAGTTTTATTTTGTCCGTGATATTAATTTCTTATACAAAGTGACGTCGATATCTGATTGTAGTTTCATATTAAATATTGTGATTCCGATGGAAAATGATATCTAGTTGATTTAAAATATTATACATCTTTTGGGTGGAATAGAATTTTTTGAATTATGGTGAAAATAAAATTAAAAATTCTCCACTAAAAATAAGTTCTGCTAACGTAACTAACGGATGCATAATTATGTCTTCTTCGGAAATGATATGTTTAGTGAGATACTTTGGACTAAGTGTATATGATATTGGTGATGTATATAGAAAATCTCTTAAATGTTATACTGACGTTTTTATTTATATTTAATATAGAATATGTCCATAGGAAGTACCTATAATATTATATTTGTATGTATTTTAAGTAAATAAATGTAAATGCATTATTTTATTATTGAGTATGGCAGCGCATAACATACACACAATTAGACAAACAAACAGATTTTGTATATGATAAAATCAATGATTGTTATTACGTAACAGTTACATACCCATTTAAACGATAATGAATTAGGTATCAGTCGATTGGGTTAAGACCCATTGGGTTAGGAAACCGTAGCGAGTTCGATCCCCACCCGGAATGGTTAAGAAATTTGCAGGATACCTTATCTTTTTTTTACTTTAAAGATTTTTTTTCAAAATTTCATTTATTAGTTTTAACACCACCATCAGTTATTATTATGTCACGGCTAATTGTAAGATGGGATATAAACTGTGCTTATCCTAAAGTCAACTGATGTCAAATTAACCACTAATCACTAGGAGTTTTACAAAAACAACGAATAATTATTATTTCAACTATAGCTTAATGTGAAATCAACTCCAAGCTCCTCCCAGCTAAAAATCAACACACATTTGTGTATTAAATAAACACCACCTCCACCACCTTTGTGTAGAATTAACACCAGATTTCTGAGTATGTATATGCGAAACATGCAGATTTAACCTATTAATCCACCATATTATGAAAGACTGTCCTAAATTCTTGGAATCTCGCAAGATCCTCAGCAACCTCACTTAAATTAATTAAGCCCCCAACGAAGACGAACACCGAAACCATTGTCCCTTTTTTCGTAAAATTAATATATTCAAAAAATTGTAACACACCAATACCTTATGTATAGGTTTTTAAACTTTATCTACCTTAACAGTTATACCTATATTATATTTAATTGTTTAATTTAAGTAGGTTAATTACTATTGTTGTTGAATTCTTTACTAATAAAATTAAACAAAATATATGAAATTTAATGGTATATATTATTAAGCATGTAAATAAATCGCATTATTTATGTAAAAGTGTATAAAATACGTATAGCTGTTATTTTATTAAAAAGGGGGAGGGGGAATCGATTATTGTGGAATAATTGAGCATATTTTTTGGATTTTTAAAATAGTGAAAAAAAAAATTGGACACACTTCAATATAAGCGAGTTGTATGGACGCGAATTAACAGAAATGTAACTTTAGGTAAATTATTATTATAAACGAATATCTCGTTACTGATTATAAATAAATTTATAATAACCTCTTTTTATTAAACATCGTTATGAATTTTCTTCAGTAAAATGTTGTAAATCTCGTTAATATTTGAATACTAACGGATAAAACTGCAGTATTTTATAATTGAACAAATATTGACTTAAAAAAAAAAAAGCTAGCTGGCATTACCGGGCACGGTACGTCGACGTTGTCCTGCTGAAAGTTTTGTATTATAAAAATATTAATAATAATAAATTGCTTATCTAACCAATCCAAAAACTAACTTATTAAGCATAAATAAATACCGAGCTNTAACGGATAAAACTGCAGTATTTTATAATTGAACAAATATTGACTTAAAAAAAAAAAGCTAGCTGGCATTACCGGGCACGGTACGTCGACGTTGTACTGCTGAAAGTTTTGTATTATAAAAATATTAATAATAATAAATTGCTTATCTAACCAATCCAAAAACTAACTTATTAAGCATAAATAAATACCGAGCTAGGAAAATGGAAATTAAATTTAAAAAACAATATTATAGTACTCTGGTGCCGGTTTCGCTTATTTTTTTCCAATTTTATAAAATTTGAAAACTATTTCGTTTAAAGATAAGAAATTTTCCTTATATGATCTGTTGTCCAATAATTATTTAGTAAGGCTGGGATACGGCAGATTTCAAGGATGAAAATAACTTTGTAGGAATAGGTATAATTCCGATTGAAATTTGATTCCAAAGTATGAAATAATTAAAGTTGGTAAAATTGAACATTATACCATTGCAGTGACGGTGTATTTTTTAATTGATTTTAATCTAAAAGACAAACCCGTATGAATTGCAGTGCTCGGTGGATTTCAATTTTGTAAAGGTCCTTTACGAGAATATTTCGGAAACAAAAATATAATTGTTATACTGGAAATCGTACACAAATTTGGTTGTATTTTTGAAAATTGTGTTTAAAGTACCTAGGTACTTTGATTACGATAAATTTAATTAAACTAATTCAAACATATCCTAGTAGAAAACCCAAAGAATTAAATTATACGGGTTTTTTTTTTATTTGGTTTAAATTGTAAACTCTCTAACACAATTCCCGCCGTTTTATCTGGTTATCGGTTTAAATCGTTATATTCGTCTTTAAAGATGGCCGTTTGTCCCTCCCTTTAATGAGTATCGGGCAGGAGACTAGTGGAAAAATGTTATCATTAAGGCGGTTTTAACAAATATTTAAAATTCCCAATTTCCATTTCCCTCAATACACATTTTTTATCTAAACATATTAAATGTATAATTCTTTATTTTATGTAGTATGATTCCTAAATTAAAAACAATTCTTTTTCCTATGTATCAATTACATTTGATTTCGTGATAAAATTTTCAATAGTAGTTAACTTATAAATTTGTATACCTAATAATATTAAACTAATAAAAAATAAAATACAAATTCGGTCATTATTATACAATGAAAGCCAATGTGAAATTTTCAGAGCTTTATTAGTATAAAAGTATTAACAAATATCACATAATTTTATATAACCAATATCTTCTGTTCTTTGCTCGGAATTAAAAAAAAAGGCCCATTTCGTTTGTATTAAAATTAATATCCAAACTTTCCATGGTCTTTAAGTGTTATAATTGAATATGATTTTGCTTTATTATGCGTGTAAATAAAAATTTTCTCAGCATTTCAGTGAAAACAAAAACTTTCCCGTAGAGTAAATCTGTTCGTAATAAATAAATTATAAACTTGTTAAAATAAGTATTACACAAAATGGTACCAACAAAATAATTAAAAACTATGAAAACGCATAAAATTGTATTATTTTGAGATTCTAAGCATAACGAAAAGATATTATAGTTTTAAAGGATTATTTTTTTTTTCTCGGAAAACACTTTTAGTTTTATTAAAAACAGATCTGATCTTTACAATAAATCATATATACCTCAATGGATGCGAATTTTTCATCTGGTGGTAATTTATGTAAAACATTTAGTGTTATTTTTGGCAATTCGCATTTTGGATCTTTTTTTTTTTTAGTTTGATTTTTGTTGATTTTCGGGTTACCACATTGAAAAAATACGACTGATACTAATCCATTCAAAATCGTTTCTTTCGTATGTTATGATTTTCATTGTTGCAAACGATGTAAAAATATTATAAACTAAATTACTAAAGCTGTCTTTTTTACATACTTCTGAGCAGAAATAAAACAGCAATTGTTTTTATTGTGAAACTATCTGTTTATATTATCATTTCGAAACTTTTTAAATAATAATATTAAAAACTGATAACTCTGCTCATTTTTCAGTGTAGACTTCTATTATATGGATTTTATTACACAGAAATAATATACATACATAATAACTAAAGTTAAACTATTTTTTTAATTTCAAAACAATATTATATATCAGTTTATTTAAAAAGCTATAATTAAAAGGTACAAGGACAAAAAAACGGAAAAGTCAATTTTTTTCAATTTGAGAAGAACTATATCGTCTACAATATAGTGAATAGTATATAGTGTATACTATTTTTAATTTCATAATGTACATTACTAAATTAAATGTTATTATTATTTGTGATTTATGCGTGAATTTTATTATTTTGTTGTGTATCTCTCCTTTTTCTTTTTCTTTTTTTAATTTTGACTTACCATTGTGTTACCAAACTAGGAAGTCAAACGTCATAAATTAATATTATCAATCATTTTCGCGTTCAATTATCCTTATTAGCCTATTATTTATTTCGGTTAAAAATTTAGGAGTTGAAATTATCGGGTTTTTTTTTTATGCAATAATAATTGACCGAGTAAAAGAAAGTCCCTATAGTCGATATGAGTGGAACAGGATATCTAGACGGTTTTAAGTTAAATATAAAAAAAAAGTAAATATTTTTATTTTTATAATACTGACCTGTTGTATAATATAGCAGCTGTCTCGTCAGCCATTTTAAATACTCTCATTTAACAGACTTTGTTATAGTCTGCCGATGAAAATCGCAGGGTTTAGGTAACTTTCAAGTTTATTCCTCGTTCCGATCGCTTAAATAAATTATGTACAACATCATAAACTATGCCGTATAGTGTATATATATACTCTATACTCTCTATACAGATATGAATGTATAATCAGTTAATATTTTGGCCACCGCTGTTTTCTGAAAAGCCGAACAATTCACGTTAACAATTATTATTAATAACAGAATATTCAAAGACGTACGATAAATCGGTAACGGTGATCTTACCGATACAATATCAAAATGTTATATTATGTACCGTCGAATATTGTACGCATTATTACCTGTAAATAATATGAATGAAGGACAAAATCCGGCAAAACAAAAAAAAAAAAATAACAAATAAAGAGAACGATCTGCAAAGTATCAAACGTATTTTTCTTGAACAATTTTCCTTCACACTTTACCAGGCATAACGTTATCAACCATAAAAACTCAACCTGGCCCATGATATTGAATTTCATTGATACACGTTTGATATTCAAATCAAACGTCCGTATTTAAAATGTTGTTTTGTGTTTATTCTTTTATAATTGCAGCCTATTTTAAAAGATTCAATTACTTGTATTTTTTTATGGGTCTAATTTACATGGCCTTTGTAATTTTGTTCATTATAATGAAAACAAAAAGTATACAGTTGCGGAGCTCGCCTTTATTTATTTTTTTTATCTTTGTGTTGACAATTTTTCTAAGAATCTTCCGAGAAATCTACCAGTTCGTTACGAATTAATCACTCTAGAGTATATAACTGTGTAATTATAATAATATAATTATTTAGTTTTAAAGATTTGTTTTCATAATATTTCACATAATTATCTGGTCGGCCGCTTATAATAGAAAATAGACTTTTCGAAATAGCCTTTGACAGACACTGGAAGTTTATGAACTTTGGACAATGATCGACGGGCTGAACAGGTTGAGGGGATTCACTGCGTTTCTGTTTTCGAGTTATTACACCCGCATATAATATTATATTTTGAAGTATGATATTTAAAATATAATATCAAATAATCGTAATTCAGTGGTCTCTGAAAATAGATTTAGATGTAAGGTGTCTACTTCTGGGAAAAATGTCTCGTGGTCATTAATCCTAATAAGGAGACCTCCTTGGGTGTGTTTAATCCGTGTCAGTGTCCAACTATTCACCGTTGTTGCAGAAAACGGGTGGCATTCTCGGGTATTTTCAAATTTTCAAATTTGATATTTGATTACCGAAAGTGTACAGTTTAGATCCCGAAAATATGTGGAGTAAAAAATAACGAGGATGTCATATTTTACTACACATATGCTTATTTATTTTGTACGATTGTTTAAAAAAAAAAAAAAATGTAATGCTTTCCAAGATAATGTGTGGATTAAACGCCTATTCATCTATTAATCACTCATCTTTTTACCGCTACTTTTGAATATTTTTCGCGATTTTCTTTGAACCGAATGAACTCAATCGGTTTCATATGCGGATCGGAACAGTACAACTTTGGTTGAATTTTAATGCGAATTTCACCTTGGTTTTGCTACAAGTGGACATTTTTTTTTAGCTTAATGAACCCCGATAGACATCCCCAAATAAAGCCAGGAAATTAAATTTCGTACATGCACGATTTAAGTGTCAAGGACTGCATGCTTTTTGCGTGCCTGAACCGTCAATCCTGTTATCAGCCGTCTGTAAATAATACTCGAATGTCTCGTTTTCACTAAAAATACGGGGTTTTAAATACAGATACACCTATGGACTAATATTATGTAATAAAACCCCGGCGAATATAATTTTGTTTGGATCAAATGTAAAAAAAAAAAAAAAAAAAAAAAAAAAAAAATAATAATAACAAAAACAACAATAATAATATTGTAGCAGTATAACAATAATAATATTGTGTTCGACTATATACTGACGGAGCTCTGCTGTTCATGGGTTTTTTTTTTTTTTTTTTTTTAATTTAATTTTACAAACATAGTCTGCGGTTTTTCTTTTGTTTGGCTTTTCGCGTTGTAGCGACGGCATCGACGGTTAACGATCCATTTGTTTCGCGCGCGCGACGTCGAGATATTTTCTGATCGGAAAAACGAGCGTGAAAGTATTTTTCCACCGATCTCCTCTACCCGGCCACTCACCATCGTCGCCGCATGTCGTAGCGGTTCTTTTCCGTCTCCTCTCTCTGGTTTTGTACTGCGGATTCGTAAGAAATATTCTAATAAAATGTCGCTCGTTGTCGTCTCGCGGTCAACCTTTTACCGCGTACCGGCACCGCACACTTTTTGACCGTGTCACCGCCGCACAGTGGGACACATTTTTCAAACAGTCGGGGGAAAAATCATGGAATCGTGCACGATAAGTGTATCCAATAGTGTTAAAATTAATATACGAGCAACAACGTGTATAATTGTCGGTTGCGGAGCACTCGGAAACGGATCGGATCGAAACGAAATAAATTGAGAAAAAAGTTATAGTATGTTCATTTTTTAGCATACCATAAGTCTTAAAAACAATATTTTATTATTGCAACTCAAAACGGATTTTTAGTGAGCTAAATGTAAGATACAACGAAATCATAATTATTGAAGGAAACGAAATAAATGTATTAAACCTGACATCAATAAAATTGCATTGAGTGTTAATTATTATTTGTTAATATTTAAACTATAATTTTCTTTATTGCCTTATCTCGTTTTTAGGCGGGTAACGTGTATTATATATTATTTTAGTACAATTTTCACAGTGACTTCATATGAATTTTCGCCTTTTATGTAATGAGCGTAACGAGAAATTATTGGTTACTTTTATACTATACCCATGTTGTGTGCTTCTTTTCTTTTCGATAACAACTTTTCATCAGAAATTCTACTGTTATCAAAAAATTACAATTGACCTTTATTATAGTATTTTGTATCTAATCGGTCCATATCATTTTTTAGTTAAAATAGTTTTTTCAATAACTGAGAAAATCCGTGAAAACCCGTAGGAAAACAGGTGAAAGTTTAAAGCATTAACGGTTTTGTTATTTTTGATTTTGTATTTTTATAGTAGGTATTTCGGTTAGAAATTAATATAGAGACTTGAAATAAACGTATGATTTTCATAATGTTCCGAAAATTGTTGAGTTATTTATTAGTTATATTTGGTTTCATGTGAATAAAATATTTTGACCGACAATAATGCTTGATAACTTTATACGGGTCATTTTAAGTTTTACTTCATAGTATGTAGTAGTTATTTAACAAAAAAAAAAAAACGTTGTAAGTTAAAATGTCGACAATAATTATACACATTATCGCTTTTTAAAACATGTATTATAAATGTGCAACCAAACTTCGCTCAGAGTAGTTTTTCGTTAGCAATGATTTTTCATTGCTTACAGATATAAATTAAATAACTATATATGTTTCCTTACATTCCCGGCTTGCCGTTTAAAGTCACCACCCATCAGTAGTATCAGCTCTATTGAAAAAAAAAAAAAAAATTCGGGCCGCTGTATTCACTGTCTCTGCTTAAAACCTTCGCTATATTATCATCGCATTTTAAGGTTTCGCGTTATTATTTTTTTCTCTGTCGTAAAATATCATCATATTATAACGTAATATACGACGTGAAATCCAACACACGCACTCAAAACTTCCGGTCATTGACAAAGTTTGTGTACAATCGCGCGTGCATACTTCTCCTCGATTACTCCACTTCCCCTATCCCTCTCATTTC